CTCCTCCTCCTCCTCTCCTCTCCTCTCCCGCCCCCCCCCCCCCCCCCTCTCCCCCCTTCAAACTACCATTCTTCCAACAATCACAGTGGTCTGTGATGATGTGATTGACCTGCTCGCTGTTGATTGATTGGGACCCCCCCCCCCCCTCTCCCCCCTTCAAACTACCATTCTTCCAACAATCACAGTGGTCTGTGATGATGTGATTGACCTGCTCGCTGTTGATTGATTGGACCCCCCCCTCCCCTCCCTCCCCCCCCCCCATTCTGTTGTTTGTCAATGTGGCACGAGTGAACCCACGCTCGGGCACCACACGCCACACGCCCGAGTGACACCTCCACCCGCACACCTCCCTTGCCTGCCCCTCACGCACGGGCACCCCTCCCCTCCCTCCTCCCCCTCCCCCTCCCCCCACCCCCTACCTCCCCCCGGAATCTACAACTACTCCTTCTCCTGCGCATGGGCTGTGGGGCCTCGCAGGAGGCAAAGAGCCTCGACGACGAGGCCGACAAGAAGGCCATGTTCAATGGCGTCGACGGAGGGAAGAAGAAGCGTCGTCGTCGTCGCCAAGCACGCTCTGCAAGGACAGGTTCCGTTGCGCCGGAGACCGACACGACGGATATGGCAATGTCAGGCACTGGAGGAGCGTCGCCGGGAAGATTACGCACATCTGCGCTCTCGCGGAGAACAGACAAGCCGAGCCGGTCGAGCGGAACAACAGGCTCGCGCTCATCGCGTCCACAGACCAACTCACAGGGCGGACGGAGCCAAGGTGGCGGCGGATCGAGTAGGCGCGTGCCGCGGAGAACGCGTTCGAGGCGTTCCCGTGCAAATGAGCCAGGCGCTCCGGACGCGCCGGCTACTCCGACCAGGCACCGATCGTCGGCGGCGTCGCGGAAGCGGCGTGGCGGGAACGGTGGCGCTAGCGGCACGAGTGGAAGGAGCAGAGGACGCGTCAGTGGAGGAAGCAGCTCGCGCAAGACTCCCGACCTCGATCCCAGTGCCGATCCATCCGAGTGGGTGCTCACCGAGGACGGCACATTTGTCCACAAGTCGGTGATGGGGAATAACTCGAGCGTGAGGGTGCGCAACACGACTGCGGTCTCGCCGGCACTGCTGCCGCCGGACCTTCCATCACCGCCAGCACACACTGCGGTCGGCCTCATCTCTGGAACGGAGCAGTTCCCAATGCGCCCGTCGACGGCGCTGTCGGGAGCGAGCACCTCGCCGCGGCGGAGAACAGGTGGCTTGCCTGCGCGGGCGTCGTCAGTCAAAGTCTCTGGCTACGGCGGACGGCAGACCCCTGGGCCTCATCCGCTTGGCGACGACGGTGTCGAGACGAGCGAGTCGGCATCCGCGACGGCGACGACGGTAACCGCTTCGGTCTCGGTTTCGATCTCGGCCTCGCGGTCGGCGTCTGTCTCGCCGAATCCGCCGGGCTCACGGGCTGGGCTGGCGTCGCCACTCGACGGCGCGGGCATGCCTGCATCAGAGACGCGCCGCGGCGGGCCGACTACCGGCGATCAGTCGCCGTCGACAGGCCCGTCGAAAGAGCCGGAGCTCGCCTCGTTTCTACTACTGGACAAGAACGACTTTGACTCGGCCGAGCTCTCGCTCTTTGCTTCGGTCAACAACGGCGACGATGGCGGGGATGATGGTGGCGGCGGCATCGGCGGCGGCGGCAAGCGGCTGGTCTCGAGCGAGTTGCCACTGGGGCGCTCGACCGAGTCTATCATTCGGCGGACCGGGCCGATCCGCTGGGAACGCGGCGCCATACTCGGCATGGGCGGCTTTGGCAAGGTGTATCTCGGGACTGACCTCGACTCGGGCAAGCTCATGGCAGTCAAGACCATCGAAATTGGGTCGGCAGTCTCGATGAAGGACTCGCGGGTCAAGGCCGAGATCGAGCTGGTGGAGAACGAGATCTCCGTCCTCCAGTTTCTCGAGCACCGCAACATTGTGCGGTACATCGGCACAGCGCGGATGGAGGACGCCGGCTCGGCGATCAACGCCGTGCCGGGCCTCCTCATTTTTATGGAGTACGTCTCCGGCGGCTCGCTTGCAGCGCTTGTCCGTCGCAACGGAGCACTCGACGAGTCAATTGCTCGCGCATACGTATACCAGATTCTCAATGGGCTCAAGTACTTGCATGAGAAGAAAATTGCCCACCGTGACATCAAGCCGGGCAACATTCTCATCTCGCCAGCGCCGTTTGGCGGCTTTTGCAAGTCTACGCTTAAGATTGCCGACTTTGGTGCGTCGAAGAATCTCAACACGCTCATGTCAGTGACCGAGGGCGGGGTGAAGACCCTTGCCGGCACGCCGCACTTTATGGCGCCCGAAGTCGTGCTGCAGACCGGCCACGGGCGTAAGGCCGACATCTGGTCGCTCGGGTGCACGTTGGTGGAGATGCTCTCGGGCCGGCCGCCTTGGGCCGACCAGTCGCCGATGGGCGTCCTGTTTCACATCGGAACGAAAAAGTCGCCGCCGCCGTTTCCGGACGGCATCTCGCCGCTCTGCATCTCCATTCTCAACGAGATGTTCCACGCAAACCCGCGCGACCGGCCGACGGCGGCGTGGCTGATGATGCACCCATGGTTCGACGCGCTCCGCGAGGTCGCAGTCTCAGCACCGTCGTCGCCGCACCAGCCGAACTTTGGCGACGTTTCGGGTGCCATCGACCAGTCTGTCGAGCTGGCCGCTGGTGACTCGCCGCTACCTGCCATGCGGCGCAACTTGCGCGCCGCGCCGACGCGAACAGCTTCGGCGCCCGGAGCCGGCGGGGTACTCGACGCGCCGCAGCAGGTCCAGTACGAGGACGAGCGGCCGATCCGCCCGCTGCTTGACACGGTTCGGGCATACTTTGAGTCCAATGTGGCGCTCGAGGAATTTAACGAGAAGGACCGGGCCGAGATCGAGGCGTTCCTAGCTGGCGTCCGCCGCGACGCCGGCGGCGAGGAGTACGAGTACGAGTCGGGGTGACGGCAGATGGTCACGACGAGTACGAGCCCGAGTAGAGGCCCGAGGAGTCAACGTCGAACGGGCCCGATGACGAGTCGTTGTCGTCGCGAAGAACAGCCTCACCAGGAGCGACCGGGCGGGCAAACTCGGGCGCCGACGACGCAATAGCGGCGTCGAGCTCGTCGGCGCGCTGCCGGCGGCGGTTGAGCTCCTGGCTCCGCTTCTTGTCGAGCTCGACGAGGCGGGCGGTGGCAACGTTGCCGTAGCCGCCTCGGAAGTACTTGAGGCCGCAGAGGGTAAAGACGATGACAGTGCAGATGAAGAGTGAGGCGATTATGGTGAGCGAAACAATGAGCCCGAGCTCGTCGTCGTCGTCGTTGGCGATGTTGGCGCCGAGGGCGGTCGCTACGCACGACTTGGTGTTCTCAGTGCAGTCGACCGAGAGGCGGGTGGCCTGGAGGAGCGAGCGTGAGCGAACGGACCTCGCTCCGAGCGCAATGTTGATCCACCCACGCATGGGAACCGAGTTGGTGGTGTCGAGACTCCCACCCGCGGTCCACGTGAAGAGCACAATCTGGGTGCCCGGGGCCAGCTCCTCGCTCGCGCCGAGTGTGACAACGGCGGCGCCACCGGTGACCACCGAGCCGGTGACGGCTACGGCCGAGGTAGCGCGGGTGGCGTAGATGTACTCGATGATGCCGGTGGAGCGGAGTGTGAGCGAGGCCAGCGAGGCCGATCCACCGTTGATGGACAGCACGCCCTGGACAGCAAAGCCTGCTGCGCCGGTGAGACTGCCAGAGGTATCAAGCGAGAGCTTGCCCGACTGGGTCACAACCACATCCGAAGCGAAGCGGACTGTCGACGAGAGCGCGAGCGTCGATTCGGAGATGCTCACGGGGAGCTCGACCGATGAGCCCAGGTTGGCGCCCGAGCACGAGACGACCCACGCGCTGGTGTCGTCGAGGGCCTTGAACGAGCCGCACAGCTCGCGGACAATGACGACAGTCGATGGCGCGAGGAAGCGGGCGGACGTGCCGGTGCCGCCAGCAACGAGGGCGTTGTCGAGAGCGCCGCGGCTGACAACGGGCGCCGCAATGGGTGAAGGCGAGCAGGCCTCGCCGGCGCCGGCCAGCGTGGACAGGACACGGCCTGACAGAGTGGCCTTGCGGACGGTGGCCTTGCCGGCGGTGGGCGAGCAGTGTGAGTCCGACAGGTAAAGGGTGGTGTCGGTGGTCGACGAGGTGGTGTCGAGGGCCATGCCAGCGATGGCGCGGAAGCGGGCAGCATCGCCCTCGCCCGAGCCAAAGTTGGTGCCTGCGGCGGTGCCGAGGATGTTGGTGACAGTTCCGCTGAGCGAGACCGAGGAGACCGAGGTCAGGCCTGCACCTGCAACGTAGAGGAGCGAGGAGCGCGGGTCAAAGCCGATGGCAACGAGGCCTGTTCCGACGCTCGTCGCAATGGTGGTGACCTCGAGAGCCGGCAAGGTGACTGCGCGGACACGGTCGACGTCGGCGATGTAGAGGACCGAGGCGTCTGCGTTCCAGGCGAGGGCGTTGGGACCCTTGAGCTGGGCGTTGGTTCCGGTCCCGTCGGTGGTGCCCGAGATGGTAGTACCAACGAGGGTGGTGACGGCACCCGAGGCGGTGATGCGGCGGAGGAGAAAGTTGCCCGTGTCGGCGACATAGATGTCGTCGACAGAGGGATGAGCGAGAAGAGCGCGCGGAGCGTTGAACTGGGCGGCCGTGCCGAGACCGTCGGCTGTGCCGGACGAGCCAAAGGTGCCGGCGTAGGTGGAGACCTTGCCGGTTGTGGTGGAGAGTGCGTAGAGGACATGCTGCTGGATGTCTGAGAAGACAAAGCCCACATGACGAGTAAGAGTTAGCCCTGTGGGCGCACCACTGGTGGCCAGGTCGCGGACAGTGCCGTCGGCAGCAGCCACAAAGCGGAGGCCCAGCCCAGCGTCGGCCACCACAGCGGTGAGGCTCTCACCCACAGCAGGCTGACTAGCCAAGACAACAACAAAGACCAGACCGAGTGCAAGGGGCAGGGTTATGGTGAGCATGGAGGGCATGGTCAGAGTGTTGGGTTGGGGAGGTGGTGGAGGAGTGGTTCTATCTGGTGCTGGTGCTGACTCGTGCTGTGCCTGCCGAGTGGTGGAGGCGGGTTTTGGTGGTTGGGGGGGGT